TAGGCCAGTCTATTTATTGCCTTTTTTTAAGCAAATTGATCGAGAGGGCCGTTGATCTTCAGCTCCAAGCTTGATAAACTGAATATCTAGATACATTTCAAAGTGGCTTTAGGACAGGATATGGAGTTGAGACTGCCATGGTTGCTCTGGCTGATGACCTTCGCCTGGGCATTGACAGAGGTAGTGTGACCCTGCTGGTGCTTATGGACCTCTCAGCGGCTTTTGATACAATAGATCATACCATCCTCGATCTCCTGAGAGGGTTAGGAATTGGGGGCACTGCATTGCAATGGTTCTGTTCCTTCCTCTCAGGCAGATTTCAGAGGGTGAGGCTCGGGGACAGTTGCTCGACAAAAATAGAGCTTAATTTTGGCGTCCCTCATGGTGCCACCCTGTCCCCGATGCTATTCAAAATATATATATGAAGCCGCTGGGAGAGATCATCCGGAGACATGGTGCGTGGTGTTATCAGTATGCTGGTGACACCCAGATATACTTTTCCATGTCTCGGTCCTCAGCTTCGATTTCAAATGGCGTCTCTCCTCTCAATGACTGTCTTAAGTCAGTAATGGACTGGATGAGGATAAACAGGCGGAAGCTGAATCCAGACAAAACGGAGGTACATACAGTTGCAGCCCCGAAACCAGATCTGGGAATGCAACTTCCAGTCCTGGATGGGGTTACACTCTCCTCCAAGGTCTGTGTTCGCAGTCTAGAGGTGCTCCTAGACCCATCGCTCCAGATGTCAAATCAGGTAAATGCAACCGTTAGGAGCGTCTGCTATCAGCTTCGGCTGATACGCCAGCTGCGCCCTTTTCTGGAAATTAGGGTTCTTGAAACTGTGGTACATGTGCTGGTAACCTCACGTCTTGATTTCTGTAATGCACTCTACATGGGGCTACCCTTGTGCCTAACCTGGAAACTTCAATTGGTGCAGAATATGGCAGCCAGGGTGGTCTCAGGAACATCCAGGAGAGACCACATTACACCTGTGTTGAAATCACTTCACTGGCCACCGATTAGTTTCCGGGCACAGTACAACGTGTTGGTTATGACCTTTAAAGTCCTAAATGGCTTGAGTCCAACCTATCTCTGGGACCGCCTCCTTCTGTACAATCCTCCCAGCGCACTCAAATCCTCTGGGAGGAATCTGCTACAGCCCATTAAAACAAGTCTGTCTGCAACCTCCCAGAGGGCCTTCTCTGCTATCGCTCCAGTACTGTGGAATAGCCTGCTGGACGAGATCCATCTTATTACCACCTCGAACAGCTTTAAAAGGCTATTAAGACGGATCTTTTCCGGCAGGTCTTTTCTGAATAGTTTTCCTGGCCCCTCGACCTAAATTAATCCCTTTTTTGTGCTGCTGTTATTATGATTGTTATGTTATTTGT